TTCTATGGTTGGGCTTGTGGTTGATGGTCCAAAACAAGAAAAAACCAAAAATTGTGCCACCAAAAGATGCGATAGATGGTCTGAAGACTGAAATAGATCAAGCATTGTTGTTTGGATTAGTAAAGATTAACAAATCTATTACTTCAATTCATCCAACAATTTGTCGATCTAGGAAATTAGCTGGGTTTTTAGCAGGCAAACAAAGCATATGTCAAGCAATATCAATATAAAATAAATCATAGCTTTTTATCTTGCAAGACCAAAAATATTATGTATAATTACAGAGAATTCTGATTTGGTCAGATCAAATTATTATGTCATAAGATCTGCTGTTTAAATTAGCTTCATAGATGGCTTTTAGTGTCTCCACACTTTTTGTCTTTTAGCTTTAAGAGACATATGCTCCTTTATGCTTGATGTCATCAACACATCTCCTACAGTATATTCTTTTCTCTCGGAAGCTTCTTTCATAAACTTGAAGGTTTTTATGGTTTGCTTGAAAATATTCTGCGTAAAACAATAAATTAAAAAATAAAAAAGTAAATAAAATGTTAAAGGAAATTTGCCAACTTATCTTAGCATTAAAAATCATCCTTGTTATTGTTGCAATCCTGTCCATTTCATCAAATTGAGTGAGTAGGTCAAATTCTGTTAGCATGATAGATTCATAATATTTACACCATAATAAAATACGAATAAAGAACTGTAATAAGATAAATCTAGGCAGCAGCAGTTTCTGGAAATCTTGGATTCTGCTCTTTTACACAGTGAAAATCCTCATCCCAGATGAATCTTTTGCAAGATCAAGTTTCTATAAATAAGTATGATTAGCAATTATTAAAGTTTGTTTATTCATGATAATAGATTAAAAATATATATACTGTAAAAAGCTAATCTAGATGATTATCTTCTGCCTGTTCAGATATATTGATTGCTTGAGTACAGTTGTCATGAAGCTCAGGATACCATTTTCTCAATAGTTAATGACATTGAAAAATTCATAATATAACAGTAAAAATTGTGATCATAATAAATTTGAATATATTAAAACAAGATTATATACTTACAAAATGCAAATCTATAATGTTATCAAAATAAGAAAACAAGTAAAACTTGAAAATTATATTATTATCTAGTTCTGAATTTTTTTTTTGCAGTATTTTTTTATCAATTAATTTGTAATTATAAAAAAAATTCAAAATCAGATATTTTTGCTTATGAAATAAAAAAATTATATAATTATGAACTTATATTTTCACTACTTGAAATAATAATTTGAAATCAGTTGTGTTGGCTTTGGTAGCAAGCTCTTTGTGATATTGATGAATTTGTTTAAGTCAGCCAGGAATTGGTTTTTCAAACTCTCACTTTCTTAAAATTATACTTTTATCAGGTCATTCAACAAAAAATATCAAAGAAAGTAAATTAATATACATCATAATACAAAAATAGAATAAATATATAATTTATAAATTGATCATAATTACTAATATTATCTTTAATATTAGTATCTTTAATAGTATTAATAGTATTTGACTCATTAATTTTTGTAGAATTTGACTCATTAATCTTTGTGGATTTTCTTTTTTCAAATACCTTGTGAAGCTATAAAAAAATTATATTCATAAAAAATCTCTTTTAATTGTATATAATAAGCATGACTTAAGATTCTATCTTTTATTAAATCTTTTAATTACTTCTCAAGATTGTTGAATTTTGTATGTTAATCAGGCATGTTTTTTCTGATTTATGTTCATTATCCTAATCTTAGTATTTTTGCAATCATATACTGAAATGTGAAAGATTAATAATATGCTCAATTATAATTTATTATTTATATTTTCTCATAACATCAGATTAGCTAGTAATTTTAAACACAGATAATTTAGTAAATCTCATTATATTCTAATGGAACCAGTATTAGATCAATTAGTAATCTTAAATATAGGCAATTTAGTAAGCTTTTCATATTCTAGCACTAATTTTGTAATCCAGCCAGTAGTCCTGAATGATGATAATCTAGTAAATTCTTATTATATTACTTATTTCTCTTCTATTTCACTTATATTTCTAATAAATAAAAGAAAATTACTTATCTTTTATAATTATCAAAAAGTATTTGGACTTTTTTTTTAGAATTGTTAAAGATATTTTTGAGAGCTTTATACAATAATTTATTTTAAATTAAATAGTTTTATATTAGATTAATTTAAAAATTTTTGATATTTGTATAATTTTATGATTAAATAATTATTTAACATGAGTATTAAAGAAAAAAGTAAAATTCAAGATAAAGAAAATTATAATATATAATAATTTAGATAAATATAAATAATCTATTCTCTTTAGATTATTCAAAAATAAAATAAAATAACTTAAATTTTTATTTTAAAATACATAATAAATTTTTAATGTTAGTATATAATATAGTTTTTATTAAACTTAATTAGTATCAAAATTCAGTTTTTTATATTATTAATTAGATTTATAGCAAGTTTATTAGAAAGATAATTTCACTTTTTTATTAATTCTAACAGATTAATTTTTTTAAATATGTTAATTTTAATAGTTATCAAATATTTTTTATAAGATTTTAATTTAATAATATTATTAGTTATAAAAGCTTATTAATATTATTTTTTATCTTTTATTTTTTACTTTTTTTGAATTATATTAAGAATTATTATCTTCTTGTAAGATTCATTCTAAATTATTTTTGCTAAAAGATTTTTCTTATAAATATTATACATAAAGTTAGTATTAAGATTTTATTAAAACAAATTAATTTTTCAAATTTCTGAGATAAAAACAACTTCATATATAAAGCTTTGATGAATAGTTAATTATACAAATACTTTTTATCTTCTAATAAATTGCTAATTTGATTAATATAGTTAAAATATACTTTATTTATAAAAATGATCTGATTTTAATTAAAATTCTGATATTTTTTATTTAATATAATTGTTTTTTGAATTTTGCTATATTTTAGCACTAGTTATATCACATTTCATCTTTATTATTTTAACAATTTTTTATCTTGATTTGTATTAATATTATATTTACTTTTCAGATTTTTGTTGATTGATTCAATAAATTACTATGAGTTTAATGCAGCCAATGTAGTTTGCTGTGGCTTCGAGTTTCAGCTTTGGTTTTTTTGGATGTACACACAAAAAGATAATTTTATATTACTTATGAAGTGAAAGCGCTATTTTTTGAAGAAGATATACAGTATGTATTTAGATAATCGTGAGTGCTAACGTAGATGATCAACATTTGTATTACTCTTAATGATTTGCATAATTTATTTTTTAGGAATACCTCATAAAAATTCAAATGTTCGCTAAACATAATTGTTGAATTTATCTCATTCACGCTGTCTTCCAATACTACATGCATATAGTTAAAAATAAAGCCCAAAACGTTGCAAACAAATAATACTAATGTATTATTGAAAGACATTTCATTTACGCGTAACTCCAAGGAATAGACTGATTAATTGAATTTTTGGAATACATGTATAATTCTTTTATCTCATCAGGTAGAATTCCAGGCCAATGCTTCCAACACTTTTTTTGTTCAATATCTATCTATTTTCAACAGAGACGAATTTAATGTACGGTCTTATATAGTCAAAATTGTTTTCTATTGTCAGGTAAACTGCAGACGCACTGCAAAGGGAGTCTAAGAGTTATTCTAATAAAAGCACTAATTGGCATCCATTTACGTCTTCTCTGCATATGCACTTACGCCAGTTTTTTGTGTTCGACATGCGTAATGTGCATTGAAGGTCTCGACATTTACAAAGATCTGAGGTTTGGCTAGAATATGTATATGCCTTCGGTCGGAATTTAACGGAAATAATTCTAGTTAGCTCCGGATGGGAGATCGAACCAATGTGACGTTTTTCTTGACATAAGGGTATTCGAACAAAATGTACATGTATAAACAAGCATACTGTGCTGCTGGTAAGGGATTATCGTTATAGTGAGATCGATGAATTTAATTTACACTCGGATCGCTGTATTGTTACGCCTAATTGATGATGGGTAATTTTGGGAGAGATTATGTGATTTATAAGGCAATTTATCTAATGCCTGTGCCGATATCTACAGATATGGTTGTTGGATTTTTAGGATTAGGTATGGGAAACTACGGATACATGTAAAAGGGTAATATAAATATTTATAACTTGTAGTTATTTAATTATCTTTACGGGTTCCCACACAAACTATTAATGTCAATAATGCTTTTTATAGATAAACTCAGCTATCATTTCATCAAATTCTATCACAATATTCGTAGTCTTTTCTGGAACAAAGGACCTAACAACCATCAATCACGTTTATGGGGATTCACGGGTTTCGGTGGATTAAAAGAGTAAGTCAATCATATAATTTTAGGCTTTAAAGCACACTTTATTTTACCCTTACTGTTACGCAATTATTCTTTATATACATTCAGCTTAAGATAATTTATTACGTATTTTATGGGAAAAATTATTTTAAGGAGATTATATGGAAATTATATAAAGAGTCCCACGAAGAATAGAATATGGGAAAAATTATCATCAAAATGAAATGAAATAAAATAAAAACAATAACGTCCTAAAAACAGTAAAAAAAAATGTTACATGGTCGTTAATTTATTATCCTGTATTAGTAACTATCAGATATTATAATAATCTATTCTAAAATTTGTTATTATATTATTATATATAAAATATGATTTATTTGGTATAATTATAGATAATTTTGAAGCTTCTAAATTCTTAATTCTTATAAAAGTTTTAAATTTCCAGAAGTATTTGTTTTAAAACACTTTGTTATTGAGATAAAATGATTTTTGAGCATACAGATTGGTAAAGAACCACATATCATGATAATAGGAAACTTATGTTACTTTTTATTTTTTTACTAAAATTCGATATTACATATATTCTAAAATCCTTTCTATATAAGCTGAATGACATAGGTGATGTCAATAACTTAATCAATTCATCTGAAGTACTTTGGATAAATCCCTATAACTGCAGCAAAAATTAATACAATAAATGCAAATAATTTCAAATTCAAAATAAATCAAACACAGATTCTTACCGTCATGAATCTTTATAATCTCATAATTTTTGAGCTTAGATCTAAGATAATCAGGGACTGATATTGGTTCCCAGTAATTTCGTAACCTCTAATTCATAAAAATGCATTAAAAGTTGTCAGAGAATTGACTTGCAGAAGTAAATGCTCCAAAACAGTCATTATATCATTACTTTGAAATAAAAATCGATATTCTCAAGTTTTGGACAAGATTCATGTATAGAGGAAAGTTGTTCCAATTTTAACTCTCCTAAACTTAGAGTTCGTAAATTTTTAACGTACATAAGTATAAAAGGTAATAGTTGTTCTGCAAGCATGGTATGTCCTTCAGAAGCAGCACGTAAGCAAGTTTCTTTAATTAAAAGATATTGGAGATTATCACCACTTGTTTTGATTATTTGCTTGATGAAAGTTATTGGCGTTCGTTGGAAGTGTCCCTCAATCATTAAACATTCCAATTTCGTAAAATATTTCCCAGTTTCTATCCACGACTTTTGTTCAATCGCATTACATTCATGAAAATCCAGATTTACGCAAGAACTTAAACCTTCGATTATCGAATCAGGCTGAAATATATTAAAGTCAATCCTGCAAAATCTGATGGCTCTGAATGTACGAGATGAAGATTGAAGACCTCTAATGATAGATCTGATAGCAGTGGCAGATAACCAATATAATTCTAACCATTCGAGCTCATTTTGAGTCATCATTGCGTTTTTAACTTTATCGTCATCGGAAAATTCAATTATTTTATTATTGGAATAAAATATTGGACCCCTACCAAAAGTAATTCCACGAATTGAATGGCAAATGTTGGTAAAATTTTCAAAGAACTTTTGAAGCTCATTCCCATCCTGTATTCCAAATATTCTTAATTCTTTGAGATTGTTAAAAATTAAACTAGGCTGACATCCGCGAGAAATCGAGCTGAAAATATCAGCATCTCTATTCAAGTAACAATAGAATGATATGAGAGACTTCGCCTCGGTAAGAAATAGTTTGCATAACGCGCTAGTCAATGCATTACGTTGTTGCAGTTGCTTATCCGTCAAAGGAATCGTTTTTTGTTTTAACCATGCTCCCGCAGCTAATGAAACTGCATATGGTTCATAGTGTTTTAAGTAAGAAGCATAGTTGAATGTTGGAGTCCGTGTGGTAAGTGGTAGGCTGATTTCATTTTTAAGAAGAGGTTGCCAGAATTCTTTTGAAAAAAGACTGACATACACATCTATGATTTTTGCCACTGTATCGGCGGATAATAACTGTCTTTCTAAAAAGAGACAATTTGAGGCTATAGGTAATCCCTTTTTTTTTAGTGGCAACGGTTCCTCCCAAAGAATAGGCACGATGTCACGACACCATTGCCGATCGACGAGTAGACAATTGAATAGTGACGCTCTATTGAGATTTTTAAATATTCCTGGACGTATTTCAGTTGGCAATAATTGAAAAACTGAGTTTGTTTCCATTTTCTAAATTTGCAAAAGTATCGTTGAATTTTTTAAATGAAACCCTGCAAAAAAATTATTTTTTTTCTATAAACAACATTTTGATTGACGCTATGTAATTGAGGGATTTCGATTTATGGTAACGGTAATACATAATGTACCCGAGTAGTGTTTCAAGCCGACTAGGAGCGCCCAGCTAGCCGATTCAGTCGAGCTAATTTCTTCGATGCGGCGCAAGTCGATCACTGAAAAATTTTTAAATTAAGAAATTTATTATTATTATAGAATGCTATTTACAGGGGAACGTTAAAGCGGAGTAGTGCTCAGCCACAGATTGGAAAGTTGCGTCACTTATGCATGCATGGGATTTGTGACATGTAGTCACATGTATGTAGATTAAATTATATGTTTCTACATGTTAGTACATGTACAAGAAAACAAAGTTTGTTGTGTTGTTTTGGTATGATAATAGTCTTTGGGAATTTGAGTTTTCTTCTTTGTTGGCTTTAGATTAGGCAGATTTGCTATGAAGTCTGGTACATGAGACTTCATTGTTAATTAACACGTATGTTTGGGTCAAATGCGGTGTTCAGCCTGATCTTTAAACTGACTTGAAATGACATTTATCAGCTATCGATTTATCTGCATTGGCATTGTACTGGTGATAATAGTCATTTTTGCAATACTAATATCATTTTATTTATTGAAGTTCACCATTTGGACTCTCTGGAATTTAAGCTTTGTTGTCAACACTTGCAAGTCATCTTTTATAATATTCATTATTATTGTCCTTTACTACATCCATCCTTATTATCTCCACCATTACATCCACCATCATCATCTTTACCATAACTATCATCCACTGCATCCACCATCACCATCTTCACCATAACCATCAGTATTTCAATGAGTACTCTCTCTCCGGATGAAAAAAGAACTCTTCTTTTTAATGTAAAAGATATATTTAAAGTTCCAGATGAGGAATTCGATAATAACTGGTGGCCCCTGATTTCGAATGTATGGACTCAATATAATTCATGCAAGCTTGTTAATAGTGATTCTTGGAAGGTTTTTGCTTGCCATCTAACAAAACACCAAGACTCGAGTATACAACAAGAGGGGATTCCAATCAAAAAGTGCAGGAAGATAACAACTTAATCATATGGACTTTGCCACGCAAAAATTAAAATTACATGGTTATTTTCTTTGAAGATGATTAGGATTGAATATCATAATAATTCTCCAAATTATACATATACTATAAAAGATAACGATATTATCAAATATTTAGAGGCTGTCTGTATTCTGATCAAACAGGAAGCAACGAAAAACTATCCATCTACAGTAATTGTAAGTGCCATCAAAGAATATGCAACTAATGAGCTAGATCTTGACAATAGCATCCAAGACTTGAAATAGAGGGAGGTTACAAATATCAGATATAAGCTTCGTGAATCTATACAGGCACAACTTGTTGGTAGTGCAAATTTAAATGCAGATATCCTGAAAGCTATATCCTTTTTAAATGAGCAAGAATACTATGTTGAACATTATAATATCACCAAATGGTCTATCAAAGGCATTGTTTTCACGCATCCTAAGCAATTTAAAAAACTTCAATATCATGGGTGATTAACTTTAATTGATTTCACCCATAAAACAAATAAATATGACTAGCACCTCTTTATCTTGTACATCTGTGATTAATACGGATGTTGGAATGTAGATTCTCACTTTTTTGTGAGTAATAAAGATAGTGAGACTATCATTAATACATTAAAAATAATCTGAAAAAAATATTCCCACTAGACACCTCGGTATGTTCTTATAGATTAGAGTGCTACCAAAGCTAATAGTATCAAGCAAGTATTTCCTGGTCTCCATGGTGGTGAGCAAGAATGCGATATAATTCTTTGTACTATTCATGTTATGTGGACATAAATGGTAAAGATTTATGATACAAAGGCTCGAGAAACTATGATACTAGCTATGCATAAGAAAACAAAAATCGATTGCGAGCAGCTTATTCAAGAAGCCATCTGTCTTTGTTTAGTTTTCACCATTTATCATTATATTAAAAAAAATTACACGTATAATAATCATCAATGGGCCCTCTGGGCTCATCAACACTCTCTGCTACTCCTACAAGTTACCTCTACAAATGTGTTTGAATCCTATCACAGTGAATTGAAATGGATGACATCTCATGTACATGGATTGATTGATAAGTTGAAGATTTTGACTAATTTTTTTTTAATTTATCATCCAATAGAATTTAAGCTGTTGTTGTTTCTACTAACAGATTTTTCAAACCTTCAATCTTATTTGCATGGATTGATTGGTAAGTTGAAGGTTTCAATTAATATTCTTTTTATTTTTTTAGTTTTATTTTTTTTTAATCATTATATT